TGTTGACAGTTGAACTTTGTGAGCAAAGCACGTTAATTAGCACCACCCATTCTCCAAGCAATTTGGTTGGGTAAGGTTTTAAATTCTGCTTTATGTACTAGGCCATAAACATAGAGAATTTGTTAATGTTAGAGATGAGTAGAGACTTAATTCTTTATAAAAAGATTTCTATAATGTTATGAATGCTGTTCTCCTAATAGACCAAAGTAGACCTGATACTCCCTTCATTATTTTGCAAACACACCTCTAACCTTTTGAGATAACAAAAAAAGTGTAGCATATCTTTATACACTTTATCCCTTGTTAAAGGAGTTACTTGGATAGGCCACAAGTCCAAGCAGGTCTGTAGGACACTTATGACTAGCCTCTATGAAATCTAGATTTATATAATATGCACTTTTTGATCTAATCAAAGAACTTGACAAAATAGAACAGCAATATATATAGTGTTTCTAACTTTTCCATCAGTGTATTGCAATTTATCAGTATGCCACTTGGGGGCACCACTCTACTATTGACATTTTTCATAATACTGTGAATTTTTATTACAAGGTAAATTCCACATTCCTTTACATTTTTTATTGATTTTGTATATTAGCTATGGGCTAAAAAAATGTGCTACAGGCATTGCAGTTGATTAATTTATGTTTAAAGAAAGGTTTTTTTGGGGGGCATGAATATCTGGCATTCCTTTTCTAGTTATCACAGAATAAAATTAAACTTAAAATAAGTAGCAAATGAATTAGAGATTTTTCCTTCATTATATTCTGCATCATGAAATTTGTAAAACAATATTTGGGAATATTTTCTTTCATAAGTATAGATACTCCGGTGTAATGGATGTGAGGTTGTGATAATGTTAACTCACTTGTAAAGATTGTTCTAATTCTGGTTTATAATTTTATATTTTTGTTCATCTGTCAAACATTTTTTAAAACTTTACTTACTCTTTTTTTTTGGTTTGTTTGTTTTTAGCAAACGCATAAGATTTTGACGAGCTAAGAAGTTACTTTGGCTCTTAGCATAGTACATGTAATTTATATAGAAAAGCGATGTTCAGGAAGTAGCCTTACTCTAAAATACATGATTAAACTTATGTATGATTACTTGTACATGATAAAATATGTGATTAATCATGGCCACTCTTGCAGTGAGTTTCAACATAGATCTTATCAGCACAAAATGCTGGTTGTAATTTTTTTTTTCACCACACTTAAGACACAATGACATTATTATGTGCAGTTGATTTTCTGCTGTAATCTTTTGCTTTATGTACTTAATACAACTGTGTTTTAAACCTTTGCTTTGGAATGAGCACAAGAGAGGAAACTGAAGCAATAGGAGATAAGGCTTGGCACTCAGGAGCTAGAAAAGAGTCAGAGTTAACATACATAAAACAACTAGTGAACAAACATTACCGTGCTTAAACAGCTATGTGGTAGGTTGATTTTAGAGATGGTAGAATGGCCACTGCCCAGGTCCCTTTCTAGCTACATATGGTCATTATCTTACTAGTTTCTGTATATTATCTAAGAAACTTAATTTTTTCCCCTTGGTCTTGTCCATGTATATATACCCAAATATTTCTTCCCTTAACTGTGTGCCTATACATTGGCCTTTGCCTAAACATGGTCAACATGGTTAACATGAAAATACCTTCTCTCCCCACAGGGCATTTCTTCCTAGTATCAACTATCTGTAGCACGAGATGAGAGTTGGGAATTAAACAAGAACGCTGCCAAGCCCTTAGAGAGGTGTCCTTAAGCCCATGCATTGAGGCCCAGGCCTTTTAGAAGAGCTTTAGGGCTATATTAAAGTAGATTTTTAAAAGTCCTAACAGATTTCTCACCAGCCAAAGGAACAAAATGGAGGAGAGGTAGCTAAGAGTTGCTGCTAGAGGTAGTTACGTTGAGGCAAAGGGGAGTGGTCTTAGATCTTAAGAGTAAGGGAGATGAAAAATCATCAAAGTGTGATAACAGTGACTGAAAAAACCAAAAGTCTGGGTTTGTTATTGTAAAGCTACATATCTGTCCTTAGCCCAGTCTCTCCTGAGAGCATCTCAGACTTATAGCCCAGATCCAAAGTATGGGGCTGAGGGGATCAGGGCCTTTGAAGAACAGAACCATGGTTAAGCCACCACACAAGGATCCAGTTCTTAGCTTTTTTTCTTAATGCACCTAGACATGGTCTGTCTTGGTGAGGGGCTCATGTTAAGTAAATTCATGC